TGTGTGTGTGTGTGTGTGTGTGTGTGTGTGTGTGTGAGAGAGAGAGAGAGAGAGAGAGAGAGAGAGAGAGAGAGAGAGAGAGAGAGAGAAGGAGAAGAAGAAGAAGAAGAAGAAGAAGAATGACGACTCAGATCATCCTCAATGCAACCAGATAAGCTTATCTTAGAAAACATCACAGAACTCGGATCATCCTATCCGTGGCCATTATTGTCAGAACGTTACTAAACCTAATGGGCAGTAGCCCGACCCGACTAGTTCCGGACGTGCGCTCAGGGGTGTTCTTATTGCGGCGACCCGAGTCTTCTAGATGCCATGTCCACCACTTCGGGAAAGGAAAACTTGTTGTGTGCTGTGGAGCCCTGATTTCCTCTTGTGAAATCATTCAAGTAAGTCGGTGGAGCACAAGCCTTCACACTCTTCAATTGACATCCCTCCTGCCGGACTTGTCCGCATATCACCAGAATAGAACTCGTTCGATGTACCCACCTGCAGAACATCACAAGGAGTCCAATACAGCGAGACAAGGCACACAGTGAGCCAGTGTTACATCTCGACTCAATGCCTTGTTTTATTTTCTTTGTTTTCTTTGTTTTTTTGTTTTTTTGTTTTTCGAACACCAGTTCACCGGAAGCTAAGTCGCGCTCTTACCGGTTTATGCAGTAATGGCGCGTCGGGCCTGGGACGGTAGCGAATGCAGAAGACCATTATGACAAAAATAATTAGAGGCTTGCGAGCCTTGGAAGGTAGCGCTGTCAACTTATGCTTGTGTGCACAGGTGGTTAAACCATCAGTACCTCCATGCTTTTAGGCCGCTAATGCGGTGACTGAATCTGTGTGCCGGGCGGGTCGATGTGCATTTGTGTCAGAGCAGCGAATGCAGAAGACGACTATGACAAAAATAGTGGCTTGCGAGCCTTGGAAGGTAGCGTTGTCAACTTCGGCTTGAGTGCACAGGTGGGTTAAACCACCAGTACCTCCACTCTTTTAGGCCGTTAGTGCGGTGGCTGAATCTGTGCGCCGGGCGGGTCCATGTGCGTTTGTGTCAAAGCCTTCCCAGACGGGCCCTAAGACCCCCTGGGGTACTGGTGGCTTAAACGGGTCCTTTGGGGTCCGGTTCGGCAGTTTGGTTCCTTGCTCTTTTATGGCCGGGGGGGAGGTGGTCCCAGTTGCACAGAGGATTGGATGAAATGCTTGAATCCGGCCGTGTCTTTGACAGGCACAGAAAATTGTGACTGAATCTGCTTTTCTGCATATAACACATCCAGCCGCGGGTGCTCAATCCGATCCTCTTCGGCAGTCGGACCTTGCCCACGGGCACCCCTCGTTGCCTCGATTGCTTTTCCTTCGGAAGGATTGATTGTCAGTCAAACCCATATGTGAGAGCAACTCCCTTCCCTTATTGGTACCATCCCCCTAAAAAAACATGCCAGAAAAAAAAAACATCCACATCCATCCTTCCAGTCCGTAATCGTGAACTGTCTTTTTTTTTTTTTTTTCACTGGGGAAGTAATGACCACAGAATATGAAAGGTTAGCCAAAACAAAGTTGTGCCAGGGTTGCCTGCAAAGCCTACATTCCAGTACGCTTGTTTTTGTGAGAATGGAGAGCGGCTCTGTGCTGCTTGTTCTTTTCATTCACAGCTCTCAATTGTTGTTCAAGAGAGACCCTGGAAGCCCCCTCTACGCAGAAGAACTTTTTTTTTTTTTTTTTTTTTTTTTGGA